TTAAGTACTGTTAACCGCAATGAGTCACCGTTGTAGGCTGAGATATTGCGGTATATAAGCATACAAAATAAAATAAATAAATAAATAAATAAATAAATAAATAAATAAATAAATACTGGATTGTGGTTTAAACGATGAGACGTCGAGAATGGCTTTTTATATTATTGATGTTTTGATGATGATGCTTTGGTTATTGCTACACTGATATTTTAGATTGTGTCTTGAATTGTGAACCTTGTCCTTTCTATGTTGTACACCGCTGTGAGTCGCCCTCGGGCTGAGAACAGCGGTTTATAAGCAAAGTAAATAAAACAAATAAATAAATGAATATCCTGGATCCACCCCCACAAGTTGTTTTTTTTTTATGTTTATGTTTATTTATATCCTGCAAGGAGACTCAAAGAAACACTCCACCGGCTCCCACACCACCTTTAAATCCCCTCCTTCACCTTTCCATTGCTCTGGGATAATGCCGTCCTCCCGTTGTTCCACTGGTTTGGGGATGATCCGGCCCGTCCTGAGAGAGACTCGCACTCGCTCCCCTTCTTCCGTGTAGCGCCATTCCACTTCTGTAGGCTTTCTGGGGAAGAGGGAAATGATAGAAAGCAAGCAAAAGGGTCCAAGTGATTACTTATTCAAGTTAGGGAAGGAACAGGTTTTTCGGGTTGCAAAGGTCGACAACAAGCTACACAATTGGTCAGAAGCTCACCCCGACCCGGGCTGGCTTCGAACTCATGACCTTTTGATCAGAAGTGATCTTAATGCAGCTGACAGTGCATTAATTAATTAATTAATGCATTAATGAATTGTGCATGAATGAATAAATGAATGAATGAATGAATGAATGAATGAATGCGGTTGATGAAGATGCTGACAGTGCATCTTCATCAACTGGTTCTTCCAAGCTAAGAAGGCAGGATTTGCTTCCAAAACCAATGGGGAAACTATTTAAACTGGGTTGCATTGAATGGCATTGTAGCTTCAAAGACTGGCTGATTTCTGCATGGGGAAATCCTTTTTTTTTTTTTTGGGAGGTGTTGGGAGGACAGTTAATAAAGAGCAACACTATAAAAAGGGGGGAGGAATTCCAGACAGAAAACAATCAGGGCCAGCTAACATCTCCCAACAAAGAATTCCAAAAGGCAGGAAGCAGCCAAGCTTTGAAGCTGCAAGGCCATTCAATTCTGGCCAATTGCAATATTCACACTCGCCTCCAATAAACAAAGAGTTTTTTTCTCACAGCCTGGTCATTATTCTACAGATATATCAACCTGACTTGTCTAGTTTCCAGAACCCTAGCAGCCAGAATGCGGTCCTAGCAAAGCCTGATGGCCTAAACAGTTGGAATGTGGGCCTAGCGAAGCCCTGGCGGCCATTTTAGATCAGGGAAACAGGGAGACGCCATCTTAGGTCAGGTTTTCTTAGAGGGGGCGTGTCCTAGTCCAGTAAGCAAAGAGTAGATGGCCAGGATTGGTTAAGAATAGGGGGCGGAGCCTAACATTCAAATAGAGGGAAAAAGTGTACTTTTTGAATTTGAGACTTGAGTTTTGGCAGTTGGGATTCGTCATTTGGGAGCTAGGTAGTCGGTTGGTAAGCCGATGGCGGAAACAGAAGAACGACCTGCCTCAGGGGAGCGTGCTCGCTCCATCCATGTTCAACATCTACACAAATGACCAGCCACTGCCAGAAGGGACAGAGAGTTTCATCTATGCTGATGATCGTGCCATCACCACCCAGGCAGGGAGCTTTGAGATGGTTGAACAGAAGCTCTCCAAAGCTCTAGGTGCTCTTACTGCCTATTACAGGGAAAACCAACTGATCCTTATTCCATGTAAAACACAGACATGTGCCTTTCATCTCAAGAACAGACAAGCATTCCGAGCTCTGAGGATTACCTGGGAAGGAACCCCACTGGAGCATTGCAGTGCACCCAAATACCTGGGAGTCAC